TTAGTAGAAAATAAAGTTATAAGATATTTTTAAAATAATTAAGCTGGGAAAATTTGTGTACAGGTGATAGACAGAAAAAGTTTTTATTTACATATAAGTAATAAATAATTTAATTTAGTAAGTGCGAAATAACTTATATATATTTAGTAGTATATATATTAAATTATGAATAAGTTAAATAAAGTTTTTAGTAGTACGTATGTTAAAGTGCAATAAATAGTTCATATTAAATATAGAAATATAAAATAAATACAAAAGAATAAAGCCAAAGTTTTAGTTACTACTTGGCTGTTTTCTCATATATGCTTATTTTAGTTTGTGATGAAATGATTCAAGAAAATCTACTGAAAAAAGAGCTTCTGAAGTATTTTTTTATTAGACTAGAGAACTAGTATTAATATGTAAGAATAAATATTTAAGTAAACTTTTAACTTGAAAGAAGAAATATTTAAATAAACTTTCAACTTTTACGGAAATAACAATTACAAACCAATTATTCAAATCGATCCTTATATTGATTTTTAAGCCATCCTATCAGTGATTTATTTTATTCAATAAGAACAAAATTTGTATTTGACCAGGAACTTGGGGAATTAGTAAACCCAAAATTCTGATCTGTGATCACTACTATATATATTTTTTAAAAAATGTACAGATCCGATCACTAGATCACGAGAGATTTGATTATAAGAATTGTATGTATTAAGTTCTTTTTCTTGGATGAATGCATCATATAATTTTTTATTTATTTATTTTTGCCCTCTCTTTTATAATAGGAATAGAATGTTAATTACTGAATTAAATTTATCTGACTTAATTAGCAACATAACTATAATTTCTAGTCTAAATTTAACTTGAAGTCAATTCGTTATTCAGACTTAAGGTTCAGGTTTCTGATTTCGATTTTGTAATTAGCAATCTATAAATCCTAAGTATTTTTATTTGTAAGCCTATTTATATAATAAGATATAATACAATCAAATATCGATAAAGGTTTTGTTACTATTTGTATATAAACCTTCTCAAACTATGCAACTCTTGAATTTCAGATAATTAACTATGATCAATGATTATATAAGCACGAGGCTATAAAGTGAAACTGGCTTTTATTATTAAGTTATTTTTTTTATGTTTTATTTATTTATTTGTTTTACTTTTTATTATTTCATATGTTTTTGACTATTTAATTCAAGTTGGAGTTTGGGTTAGGATTAGGGCATGCCTTATAGGTAAAGTTACCTTCCCGACACTTTATTAATGCATCAATATAGGTTTAGATATTAGTTTCTTGTATTCTTTGTTTTTTTTTTGCTTTTTTTCTTCTGTTGTTTTTATTTTTCATATTTTATTTATTTATTTATTTCTACTTTTATTTATTAAACTTGCAAGCAAATAACCATTATACATAGAAATTAATAATACGAATGACCACCATCATTATCATATACCGCTTGAACACGGTCTACCTCACTTTCAACAAGACGTCTATAATAACTCGGAGCTAATGCCTCACATTCTTCTTTAACCATCCTCTCAAGCTCATTAAGGTTGCCAGGTCTTGGGTGACATTTTCGGAGCTTTGCTTCAACCTCAGACCAAAGATTCTCAATAGGATTAAGGTCTGGGCTATACTGAGGCCATTTAAAAGTTTTAATACTTTTATTTGCTAGATATCTTTTAACAGTTTGCCCCTGTGGACCGAGGCACTGTCATGTTGGAATATCCTATTATTGTTGGGAAATTGGTCCTGAAGCTTAGGGATAGTGTAACGAATAAGTGTTTTACGATAGGACGCACTTGTGATACTGCCGTGGAGACAGATAAACGGACCATGACCCCACCAAGAAAAACATCCCCATATCATAATCTCTTTAGACTTGATTGCTGGAACAAGGTAATCGTTATTAAATTCTTTGCCTGGCCTCCTCTATACATGCAGATATATATTAAAATGGACTAAAGTAAAATACTTTTCATCCTACCAGAGAACATTTTCCCAGTCTTTAGTTGTCCAAGTAAGATGCTTTTCTGCCCAATCTTTATACTCTTTTTTAGTCTTATCATTAATAAAAGGCTTTACGCGAGCAACCCGTGAGATCAGGTTAGCTTTCGAAGATTACAGCTAATAGTTCTTTGAGAAATTAGCTAAAACATAAAATTTTTAAAAAAATCGAACCAAATAAATAAAAAAAATAAATAAATTAAAAAAATAAATAAATTAAAAAAATAAATAAATTAAAAAAATAAATAAATTAAAAAAATAAATAAATTAAAAAAAAAAATAAATTAAAAAAAAACAAATTAAAAATATTATTACTTTGCCTTCTTGCTGTTCCAATGCAGCTTGAATTTGTCTTTTAGTCATACGCCGATCCTTAAGACAAGCTGCATTAGACGATCTTGTGCTGATTCGTCCAAGATTGGTGGTCTTCCTCGACGATCTGGTAATACTTGAGATGGAGTTTCAAGTCAGTTAAGCACATTTCTAACGGTCTTGGGATCACAACCAACAAGTTTGGCAATTTGTCTATATGACTTGCCTAACTTTCGCGCAGATATAATTTCTCCACATTTCTTTTCTGAAAGTGTCATGAATAAATATAATCTCATTTATGCTTTGTTTAGCAATAGCTAGAAATTTCAATATATTTTCATGTAATTCTACTTTTTGATGTTGTTTTAGCTAAAAAAAACATTAACAAATAATTAATATTAATTTTTAATAATAAATTTAAATAATTAAAACAAGAACTTACATCGTTGACAAAATTTTCTAATGTATATTTTTTAGAAAAGGTAATTTTATTTATAGTTATAGTTTTATTATATTTTATCGAGAAAACTTTACAACGATTATTAGAAAACAATGAGTCACACATTTTGACCATTTCAAATGAATTGTAAGAAAAAAACTGGTCTAAAAATGGATCGTTTTTAAATTGTTGAATCATATTTAAATATTATTGATCGAGTGATAGAAATTAAATCTAAAAAATGCGATTAGTTAAGAATGTTAAGTCATAAAAATTTAATAAATTGGTTCTCATAACCCATTTATCAGCAATTCTACAATTTTTGCAGTAAACCCCTTAATTAGAGAGATAAACCTTCGAAAATAAAATTAAAAGATGGGTTGCCGGGTTATTTTTAAAATTTTATAACCAAAAAATTAACTTTGTATTATAGTTAACTCATAGTTGCATGATTACATGTCGTACGTACGTACTGTACGTATTTTGTATCACCATTTTAGTTCTTATTTTGGTATCTACGACTAATTTGTACTAGTCTGACCTATTGTTGTTGGTGAAACTGGCGACTATCTAAAATCTTATTGGCTGTTTATTACAATGACTAGGGTGTGCAAAAAAAAGCCCGTATGATTTTGGAATTTTTAAGGGCTGTAAAAATAGGGATACAGAATTAATGCATAAGCTGAGATCAGTATGTATAATAGTATGATAAACTAACTTTCAGCAGACAGCACCATTTGTACTTTACGCGTATCTGCTGCGAATGGCAAGCCTTCAAAGTCAAACGGGTCGGGCCCGACCCGTTTGACTTTGAAGGCTTGCCATTCGCAGCAGATACGCGTAAAGTACAAATGGTGCTGTCTGCTGAAAGTTAGTTTATCATACTATTATACATACTGATCTCAGCTTATGCATTAATTCTGTATCCCTATTTTTACAGCCCTTAAAAATTCCAAAATCATACGGGCTTTTTTTTGCACACCCTAGTCATTGTAATAAACAGCCAATAAGATTTTAGATAGTCGCCAGTTTCACCAACAACAATAGGTCAGACTAGTACAAATTAGTCGTAGATACCAAAATAAGAACTAAAATGGTGATACAAAATACGTACAGTACGTACGTACGACATGTAATCATGCAACTATGAGTTAACTATAATACAAAGTTAATTTTTTGGTTATAAAATTTTAAAAATAACCCGGCAACCCATCTTTTAATTTTATTTTCGAAGGTTTATCTCTCTAATTAAGGGGTTTACTGCAAAAATTGTAGAATTGCTGATAAATGGGTTATGAGAACCAATTTATTAAATTTTTATGACTTAACATTCTTAACTAATCGCATTTTTTAGATTTAATTTCTATCACTCGATCAATAATATTTAAATATGATTCAACAATTTAAAAACGATCCATTTTTAGACCAGTTTTTTTCTTACAATTCATTTGAAATGGTCAAAATGTGTGACTCATTGTTTTCTAATAATCGTTGTAAAGTTTTCTCGATAAAATATAATAAAACTATAACTATAAATAAAATTACCTTTTCTAAAAAATATACATTAGAAAATTTTGTCAACGATGTAAGTTCTTGTTTTAATTATTTAAATTTATTATTAAAAATTAATATTAATTATTTGTTAATGTTTTTTTTAGCTAAAACAACATCAAAAAGTAGAATTACATGAAAATATATTGAAATTTCTAGCTATTGCTAAACAAAGCATAAATGAGATTATATTTATTCATGACACTTTCAGAAAAGAAATGTGGAGAAATTATATCTGCGCGAAAGTTAGGCAAGTCATATAGACAAATTGCCAAACTTGTTGGTTGTGATCCCAAGACCGTTAGAAATGTGCTTAACTGACTTGAAACTCCATCTCAAGTATTACCAGATCGTCGAGGAAGACCACCAATCTTGGACGAATCAGCACAAGATCGTCTAATGCAGCTTGTCTTAAGGATCGGCGTATGACTAAAAGACAAATTCAAGCTGCATTGGAACAGCAAGAAGGCAAAGTAATAATATTTTTAATTTGTTTTTTTTTAATTTATTTTTTTTTTTAATTTATTTATTTTTTTAATTTATTTATTTTTTTAATTTATTTATTTTTTTAATTTATTTATTTTTTTAATTTATTTATTTTTTTTATTTATTTGGTTCGATTTTTTTAAAAATTTTATGTTTTAGCTAATTTCTCAAAGAACTATTAGCTGTAATCTTCGAAAGCTAACCTGATCTCACGGGTTGCTCGCGTAAAGCCTTTTATTAATGATAAGACTAAAAAAGAGTATAAAGATTGGGCAGAAAAGCATCTTACTTGGACAACTAAAGACTGGGAAAATGTTCTCTGGTAGGATGAAAAGTATTTTACTTTAGTCCATTTTAATATATATCTGCATGTATAGAGGAGGCCAGGCAAAGAATTTAATAACGATTACCTTGTTCCAGCAATCAAGTCTAAAGAGATTATGATATGGGGATGTTTTTCTTGGTGGGGTCATGGTCCGTTTATCTGTCTCCACGGCAGTATCACAAGTGCGTCCTATCGTAAAACACTTATTCGTTACACTATCCCTAAGCTTCAGGACCAATTTCCCAACAATAATAGGATATTCCAACATGACAGTGCCTCGGTCCACAGGGGCAAACTGTTAAAAGATATCTAGCAAATAAAAGTATTAAAACTTTTAAATGGCCTCAGTATAGCCCAGACCTTAATCCTATTGAGAATCTTTGGTCTGAGGTTGAAGCAAAGCTCCGAAAATGTCACCCAAGACCTGGCAACCTTAATGAGCTTGAGAGGATGGTTAAAGAAGAATGTGAGGCATTAGCTCCGAGTTATTATAGACGTCTTGTTGAAAGTGAGGTAGACCGTGTTCAAGCGGTATATGATAATGATGGTGGTCATTCGTATTATTAATTTCTATGTATAATGGTTATTTGCTTGCAAGTTTAATAAATAAAAGTAGAAATAAATAAATAAATAAAATATGAAAAATAAAAACAACAGAAGAAAAAAAGCAAAAAAAAAACAAAGAATACAAGAAACTAATATCTAAACCTATATTGATGCATTAATAAAGTGTCGGGAAGGTAACTTTACCTATAAGGCATGCCCTAATCCTAACCCAAACTCCAACTTGAATTAAATAGTCAAAAACATATGAAATAATAAAAAGTAAAACAAATAAATAAATAAAACATAAAAAAAATAACTTAATAATAAAAGCCAGTTTCACTTTATAGCCTCGTGCTTATATAATCATTGATCATAGTTAATTATCTGAAATTCAAGAGTTGCATAGTTTGAGAAGGTTTATATACAAATAGTAACAAAACCTTTATCGATATTTGATTGTATTATATCTTATTATATAAATAGGCTTACAAATAAAAATACTTAGGATTTATAGATTGCTAATTACAAAATCGAAATCAGAAACCTGAACCTTAAGTCTGAATAACGAATTGACTTCAAGTTAAATTTAGACTAGAAATTATAGTTATGTTGCTAATTAAGTCAGATAAATTTAATTCAGTAATTAACATTCTATTCCTATTATAAAAGAGAGGGCAAAAATAAATAAATAAAAAATTATATGATGCATTCATCCAAGAAAAAGAACTTAATACATACAATTCTTATAATCAAATCTCTCGTGATCTAGTGATCGGATCTGTACATTTTTTAAAAAATATATATAGTAGTGATCACAGATCAGAATTTTGGGTTTACTAATTCCCCAAGTTCCTGGTCAAATACAAATTTTGTTCTTATTGAATAAAATAAATCACTGATAGGATGGCTTAAAAATCAATATAAGGATCGATTTGAATAATTGGTTTGTAATTGTTATTTCCGTAAAAGTTGAAAGTTTATTTAAATATTTCTTCTTTCAAGTTAAAAGTTTACTTAAATATTTATTCTTACATATTAATACTAGTTCTCTAGTCTAATAAAAAAATACTTCAGAAGCTCTTTTTTCAGTAGATTTTCTTGAATCATTTCATCACAAACTAAAATAAGCATATATGAGAAAACAGCCAAGTAGTAACTAAAACTTTGGCTTT